AGCCCCTAAGTTATGGAACTCTCTTCCGTTGGCTCTCAGGACAACAACCACGTTGCACGAATTTAAACATAAACTCAAAACACATTTGTTTAACCAGTATTTCAGTCATGAAAATGTTAATTTGACATAACAGTCACAATGTTAACTGTCTGTAATTAATAATTAATGTTTGTTGTCTTTGTTTTTTATGTTTGTACTGCAAATGTAATGCGACTTGCAACTGCAATCGCTCATTACTTGGACTGGGCAAATGTCCATTGTCCGTTTATGTGTAAACTGCTTATCTACTGTCATTGTGAAGCGTCCTTGAGCTTGGGAAAGGCGCTATATAAATTAAACTTATTATTATTATTATTATTATCTTTATCTGAATCTTTATCTGACACTTTGTCGGGAGCAGCAGCTCATTTGCATTTAAAGGGCCAGACACAAAATGGTGCGTTTTTGCTAACTCTCAAAAATGTAGCCTATTGGATCTGACAGCAGCTGCAACATAAACTGTAAGTGAATGATTTCATAATGCTTTGTCTGTAATTGATGGCTTTATATGGGTAATGTTTTCATTTTTTTTGTGTAACATTATAAGTGAACTTCAAGGAACATAATAAAAAAAAAACATGTCATGACCCCTTTAATTTTTCTTTTACAAAAAAAATAAATAAGTGTGTTGTTTTATGTGCATGGTTTAGGCATGAGAACTCTTCGGGATATTACCGTACATCTGTGTATTTCCTGTCCAAGGTGTTTGTGGATCTGCTACCAAATCGCATTGTCCCGATTTTCATCTTCTCCAGCATTTCTTACTATATGATGGGTAAGCACACGTGTCACATGATACATTATTAGTATGCTAAACATCTGGCACATCATTAAAACTATCAGTAGCACATATTGTGTACTAAATGAAACTTGAATATGCGCAGTAAGTGTACATATATATTTGTCAACAGGGTTGAATCCAACATTCACATGCTTCTTGTGCTTTGCGTTGACCATGTCTATGGTCAGTCTGGCGGGAGTCAGCTTGGCTTTCCTGATCAGTGCCAGCGTGAGCTCATTCGCCATGGCCAACATCCTCATAGCCCTGCCCTTTGTCTTCATGATGGTCAGATTTCTAAACATACACTTGCACAACACAAATATTCTTGTTCTTTGTCATTTTTTCTTATTCCATCTGTCTTTCTCTCTCTTTGTTGCAGGTATTTGGAGGGTTCCTGGTAAATCTCAACTCAATGCTCAACTGGTTGTCTTGGCTCAAGTGGGCCAGTATCTTCAAATATGGGCTAGATGTAAGGAGGAGGAGTAAAGACATTCATTTTAGAATGCAAAAAGTGTTTTTGCAAGACATAACACATATTAAAAGAGTGTAGCACATGCTTTTGAAATGCATCGCCGATTCGCCACACATTATCAGATTATATAAGCAGTGCTGATTATAATGTAATTGTGTGTTGTTCTTTTGTAGGCTGTGACTATAAATGAAATGAAAGGGCAGGTCTTCTACAGTGGCAACGCTACGTAAGTTATTTATATTGTATAAAGATAAAGTGTAATGACAGTTCAGTGAAAGTTCACAGAGTTGTATAACTGGGAGGTTTGACAACCTCTTGCACATCATGACAGGCTCATACACTATACTGTTCAAAAGCTTGGGGTCAGTGAGATTTGTTTTAAAGAAATTCATATTTTTATTAGTGACAGTAAAGGCCTTTACATTGTTACAAAACAATTCTAATTAAAATAAATGGAAACCAGTTATTTTAAATTGTAATAATATTGTATTTTTGATCAAATTATGCAGTCTTGGTGAGCATAAGAAACATAAATTCTCAAACATCTTACCAACCCCAAACTTTTGAAGTGTAGTGCATATCACAACACAATATTGGCATGAAAGGAATTCTTTAAATCATTGCTCAATTAAATTTTGGATTGAGCAATTCAAATTAAAACTTTTTATAGTGACAACCAAACCTAGATATTTACATCTTCCGTTTGATCTCTTTCTCATGGTCAGACTAACTGGAGAGATGTATCTGAAATCTCAGGGGATCGACTACAGTGTGTGGGGCTTCTGGCAGAACCAGGTGGCTCTTCTGGGCATTATACTGGTGTGTATGACGTTTGCATACATACAGTTACGCAGGATCAACCGCTGGAAATAATGAACATTCTCTTCATAACAGATTGACTCATACACACAATGTAATTTCATAAAATTCATATTTTTGTACACCAACCTCATTTTTGTTGTATGTAGATTATAAACACTGTTGTCTATGTAAATTATATTTTAATTTAATAATTCATTTTGTCTTATCTGGGATGGACACTGATACCTGTTTGTAAATATGAAATACTTTCTAATGTAAAAAAAAAAAAAAAAAAAAAAAAAGTTGTGCAGCATATCTGTATTTGAAGTGTATTAGGCTATTTAAATGCTTTCCTGCCTAAATGAAATAGTAAAACAGTTTGTTAAAAGATGAGACAAAATGTTTCTCTAGCAAAATCACTGTATTTGTACAATTGTACTATTGACTCAAAACTTTATAGTTACTGAGATGAGACTTGAATATTAAAAAAAAGTTCTCAATTGTTTGTGCTCATGGAAGTCATGTGTTGCAAAGAAAATATGGTCATAGATTTTGTTCTGTATAACCAAAAAGCGATTTATATTTAAATTGTTCAATATGTTAATCAATATGTTTTTATCCCAATAAATTTTCTTAAACGTGTAGCCTGTGAGTGAGTGTGCATAAGCGAACGGATATGAAGATTGTCTTGTTTTCCTTACATAGACACTAATAAGTAATTTCACCGCTAGGTGGCAGCACCGTTCTGAGTCATGACCTAATGTGACTTTCATGCTGCACGTTCCTCCCATAGACATAATATTGTATTTTATGTCTATGGTTTTATGTCTATGGTCTTCTTGCACTGCCCTGATATTAATTATACACACACTACTGTATTTTTTGTAAGTAGCTAGTTTGAATATTATCCATTAACTTAGTATTTTTAAATGTTGAATGAGTAGCTGTTAACTGAAATTCACTATTCTGTTTTTGAGTGTGTGGCTATATGCGCACACACATAAGTCATACGAAGGTTTTGTCAATTGGATATTTTCATATTCAAATGTATACTACCAGACCTCAAATCTGAAGGCTACATATTTGTCCTCCAGTTGTTGCTGTAGTCTAAAACCCACAGAAAGCAGCTGCAGATATTTCTGTTATTGCCACATGTAATATTCACATCTGTTAGATATTAGTATCTCCTCTGTGTCTGTGTGTGTGTGTGTGTGTGTGTGTGTGTGTGTGTGTGTGTGTGTGTGTGTGTGTGTGTGTGTGTGTGTGTGTGTGTGTGTGTGTGTGTGTGTGTGTGTGTGTGTGTGTGTGTGTGTGTGTGTGAGTGTCTGTGTGTGCAGTGCAGTCTTCTTGAGTTTCAAGAGCCACACTGTCAGCGTAAAAAATCTTGGAAATTCTCCAAGTTCGAGTTGGGGAGAATTCACTGGAAAATAGTTAAGGTACAGAGGTGCATAAGACGAAGAAGAAACAAAATCTACTCACATTTGCTTCAGAAAATGTCAAATTCATGTTACATCTCCGTGGCAACAAAATTATTGCAATGGGTTGTGTTACAATATGTAAACTTATACAGAGTAAGGAATAAAGTAACTAAAAATGGATACATTAAAGGCAGTTGATTAGTGTTACCATATCTATTGCTAGCTAATTATAATATATTAATTATGTGAGATGAACCTTCTTATACAAGAACTAAAAAAACAAAGCACACTCTTTAACTATTTACTGTCCAACAATTTTTTTTATTTCATTGTCATGTCCAGTTGCAAATGGCACATAATGAGAATAAAATAAAAATGAAGTTCAAAAAATTGCATTTTCACACCTAAGGAGATCTTATCCCACCAGGGAAGGCACAAACACTTCTTTTTCTTCAACACATTCACATGGAAAAGCTTTAGCCGAAAAAGTGCAAATCAACAAGCTAGAGTTACAATAAAAAACACTGTTGTTCCTGATGTCAGAACATGCTGAATACAAGTCATGTAACCCAAAATGTCCACAAACACCACAAATAACAATTTGACAAACAAATGATTTGCTTTTGACTGACTTTGTGTGCTTGTGTATGTGTGCGTGGAGAAATCTGAATCTCTCTGATGTGAAGAAGGATTTTTCTCCAGTATTTCCTGAGCCACGTTGCTGCTATTTAAAACATGGCCTCATTACAGAAGCCAGTTCACTCTAAAAATGTTTTTGGGAGCAGGAACAAACCCTATGGCCGAAGGCTCAGCTTATGATGCACGGCATTTTGCATAAGCAAAATGACTGACCATTATGTAATAGCACATTTAGATTCTGAATTTCCAAGAAACCGCTATTATACGGAGTGAAATAAGACCATGAAAGCACTGAGAGGCAATGACAGTGACTTTGCATGATTCTACACAAAGTGCATTAAATTGCTTAATGTATTGTTGCATCATTTCGTGACGACTTATGCTAATTGGGATTAAGCAAAAAACAGTTTGTGCAACAATAATCCAGTTTTTTTGTATTATATTTTGTCAGTGCACTATCAATTTGTGCTTCAATAAAGGGAAAATTCACCCAAAAATGAAAACTGTCATCATTTACTCACATTCATATTGTTCCAAACCCATATGACTTTCTTTCTTCTGTAGAACACAAAGGAAGTCAAAATATAGTCATACAACGAGTAAATGCTGACAGAATTATCATTTTTGGGTGAAATACCCCTTTAATATAATGAGTTTAATGACAAGTAATTTGTGCATTTATTTGTACTTTTACATTCAAATGTGTTTTTGTGTCTTAAGCCATTAGATTATGTTGAAATATTTCCGTATGTTACGTGATGTGGACTGTACATTATCATCTTGTGCTTATGCTGTGTAGAGAATGTGTTATGTTTAAGTATAGGTTTAAAGAACACACATTGTTTGTTTGTGTGTGTGCAGACTCATGAATGTTTCTCAGTATTCCCACAATGTTGCACCAGCAATCGCCTGGCCGCTGGCTTTGAGAACCCCAGCGTGGTCTCCCTTAAGATACTTGCCTTCCTCCGTCTTAATGGCCACTTTATTATAATCGCAGAACTCAAAGTGGAAATAGACAGGTGATCCACTGCTGCTAATCACAGAGCCGTCTGCCTCCACTGTCCAGAACTTCCCCAACGAGTCTGAGGAGAGCAATTAGAGAAATGGTAACTATTTACAACCTACCAAAACAAATCTTCCCAGTCAGAGTAACACTATCACTCACCTTTGAGGCTGTAAGCGTTGTTGTTGTACTCTAACTGGAAGACATCATATGATGAGCGGTTCGAATCAAGTGTACCGGTTCCTTGCTTACGGCAACCAATAAAGCCGTGTTCCCCACGCAGAACTATCAGCGGCCGGTTGATGAGCTTCACCACAAACTCCTCCTGCTCGCCTGTAAAAGAAAACAGCACACGCTAGCACATACTCTACATATAACCTGTTAGCTGTGGTTAATAATACAGTGCTCTTGATTTTACATATGAATGATTCAAATCTTAATACGGTAAGGAATCCAGGGTGTTTTCACACTTGTAGATTGGTTCGATTGGGACCAAAAGAGAAAATTATACATTTAATCCTGGTTTGCTGGACATTTGTAACACTGAACCTAAAGATACCAAACAAAAAACAGCTTTTATGACATATATTTTGTTATGAAAGTTATCGAACCAAATTCCTAGTATTTGTATACATGGCGAATAAATAAAGTTGAATTGAATTGAAGAACATCCAAGATGCTCTGGTTGTGTGTGCATATGTACCAGAGGCAAGCTAGTAGTCACTGTACGTGTAACCCTTACTCCCCTGACCTCAAGAGGCGTGCTAGCGACTGGCGGCTGCGGTCTTTAGCGTCCTTGTTAGCGCACCTGCCTCCCACACCGGTTAAAATCCTGCTCAGAGCAGGTCGAGTAGGACCGGAGGGGTTACATTGGTGCCATGACCTGGACGGAAGTGAGGTTTAGGCGGGTGAGTGTAACGGAGGCAAGATAATTGTAAACCTCACTCCCCTGGCCTCAAGAGGCGTGCTAGCGGCTGCAGTCTTTAGCGTCCTTGTTAGCGCGCCTGCCTCCCACGCTGGTTCGAATCCCGCTCAGAACGGATTGAGTAGGATGGCATTTTTATCACCTGCCAACTCACGAAAGGCTTATAAAATGTGTAAAGGGTAGTGCACATTAAGAACGAGAACGATAACTATATTTGCGACCACACCAACAAACGATAACGGTCTGTTTATTCTAAGCTCGAGCGCTGCGTTTTCAAAGTGTTTACAATGTCATTGAACATGTTTTTGCTGTTCTTGTTGCATTTACAAGCTTTAACCAGCAGATGTTCTCAGCGTGCTATGTTTAGAGTGAAGCTAGTGTAATCGATCTAATAATCTAACAGTGAATTTAGCTGACGTAGTCAATATAGTGGAATAAAAACAACACCTTGCCTTTTTCACCGCAACTTCAAAGGAAGCAAGACAATGTTGTCGAAACGAGCGCTGGATACCTGAGGTAATTACTTCTCACTATTTATTCGGATGGTATGAACGATTTTTTTCCCATATCCATTTTTTTTTTCTTAAATGGCCTTGACTTGTCAAACAGTGGTGGATTTTTCTGGACCTCTGCGATTAATTCTCTGCAATGTTGTCTGCCATTTTAAATGCGTGAGCCCTTAAATTAGAATTGATTTTGATTGGCTTTCAGTGTTTTATTGTTCAACAGCTGTAAAAAAAATCTTTCCGAAAGTGATCCCAACGATATAGTTTCTCTATATTGTTATCGTTATAGCTGTGGTGTGAAATCTTCTATTCTTTAATATTAAGAACGATTTTTAGAACTATATTTTATCGTTATTTTTATCGTTATCGTCCTTGGTGTGAACGGGCCTTTAGAGTCAAAACAGCGGCAGGAATTCCTCCGTTACACACACAAACTGAGATCTTCTGCGGTTCCAATGCCTATACCGTACTGTAATTGGCAACATGGCTCCTATGACGAGAGAAACCAGGTATTCTTGCGCATTCTGTCCTTTTTGGGGTTGCGTCTTGTGACATCACATCCTGTTTTTGGTTCATTTAGATGTCACCAGAGTTTGTTTGGAAGCTTGTTTGGTGCACACCAGGGTTCACACTTATTCAAATGAACCATACTAACTGAGCAATTGCAACAGAGTTCATTTTAATCGAACCAAACCTGCCAAGTGTGAACACACCCTCAGACACAAACCTGCAGAGTCCACAGCGGCCGCCAGCTGTCCGTTCTTCTTGGCTGCCATGTATTTACCATTACTGGCCTTCAGTGCCACTTTTGACCCTTTCCACTCAAGGTCAAAGAAACAACTGGGTGATCTGGGATAAACAGACAGTTTCTTAAAATCAACTTGAAAAATAATAGGCTAGACCTATTTAATTTTGGAATGTACATTTCTTTTCTTATTGAGCACAATTGAGCTTGTGTTCAACTCTAGCTAACAATAAACTGCTTTATGTATTGCAATATTGTGGCTCTTAGAAAACTTAAACTGTAAGTTGCTTTGGATAAAAGTGTCTGCTAAATGCAAAATGTGAATGTAACAATTCATCAGTGCACATTATCACAAATGTCTTTTTTTATTTTTATGAAATGGTATAACTTACTCCATCACTGAAACAACTTTCCTCCATTTTGGTATATTTAAAAACCAATTATTGGAGAATATATATATATATATATATATATATAATTGAGTAAACAGCACATCTAGTCAAGACAAGCTGTTATGTTTGCATTCCCTATTACCTTAATCTAATTCCTCTTGCCATATGGTTCCCTCAGCAGCAAACAATATTTTAGATTCAGACTGGCTAATCTGCTATTCTACCCTGTGTCTAGTTATATCTATGAGACATTTTCTGAAAGTAGTTACGTATAGTTAATTGTTCTTACTTCGTGGAGGCAGAGCACTGAATCGCTCCACTTGGGGTGAGACTCCAGTACTTCCCATTGCAAGATCGGAAGGCACAGCGCTTTGTCTCCATGTCCATCTCCATCTGAAACACCTCCTGATCAGACTCCTCATCCTGATTGGCTGATAAATCAACCCCTAAAATAATAATTCAATCAGAGTGCCATTTTAAGACAGACTAGGAGAGGTAAGTTAATCAATATATAATTAAAATTCTAATCTGATACTTTTCTGCATGCATGTACACACACTGACACAGATTTCCAGAGCTCTTAAAAGTAAAGCAAAACTCAGAGCCAATATGCATGCTTTTAATAGCATGCATATCTGTTTGTGATGCAATAATTTTTTTTTTTTTTTTTTTTTTTGTACAGTAACTTTGATTGATTTGCTAAGGCAGGACAATCCTTTTACAAATGTCGGGTATGAAAATAAATACATAAATTGGGCGCCCTGCATGCAAGGTTTCACAGTTAACACAAAAAGAGCAGTCTGGATACATTTTAGTGCTGGATGCTTAGATTTACAAAAAATAATAAAAAAGTGGCCCATTTTTACTTAAATTTGACTTCACCCGAATATGGCCCAAACCTATTATTAATAGTATTATATCCGAATCATGCTGCAATCACAGCTCACCTTGGCGCATGGAGATGTTTCTTTCGTTGCTGGCTGTGAGCACCACTTGCCCGTGACTTTGCTCGAGGACAAAAAGCTCATCTTTGCCGACACGCGCACTCTTGCCTGACTTCATTGTCCCGGTGGGGCCCCTGGGTGCGATGTATTTGCCCGTGGCGTCCCGGAAAGCCACCTTCCCCGCGCGAAATTCCAGCGTGAACCCGGTGCCCGTGCCCGGTTTGGCAGTCAGCGCGCCGCTGCACGTGAGGAAGCGGTTGTCTGCGGTCTGCAGATGATACCGGTGGTCCAGGTACACGAGCGTGAGCAGTGAGTCCACACCCCACGGCACGTCGCGGTCCACGGCGAGCTCGTTCCTCTCGGCGCACAGGTGTGCGTACCGCTTGCGCGCGATGCTGTACACGTTCACCTGAGGATGCACGGCCAGGTGCACGTTCCATTTCTCCGCAGGCGAGATGCTTTGCGCAAAGCACGCAATCCGGTCCTCGGTCCCGCCCAGGTAGCGCGCATGGGGCTCGGACTGCAGGGACCACCGGCCGTCGTCGTGGGCGATCACAAGGAACCGACAGTCCGGGCCGGGTTGCTCGCTGTCCGCGGTCACGTTGCCGTCCTTGTCTGTGGCGAGGTAGCGACCCAAGTGGCTTTTGATGAACACGGCATTGGAGTCTCCGTGGTCTCCGGACTGTTCCAGTGTCCACACCTGCTTTTTCTTCATAGAGCTCGCGGAGGCGTTGATCTTAAAACCAAACATCTCCGCTGTCAGATATTTGTTACCGGCGTTTATTAGCCCGAAGCGAATCACCAAAGTCTCGCCTAATCCTTCCGAAGACATGCTGGAGCTGTTTAGACGTTACGGTTCGGTGAGAATGGGTGAGCAGCGGTTCCGAGGAGTGGGTGTGACTAGTGATATACACGATGGCGCGCGAGAGATGCTGATGAGAGAGAGATGCTGATGAGAGAGAGAGAGAGAGAGAGAGAGAGAGAGAGAGAGAGAGAGAGAGAGAGAGAGAGAGAGAGAGAGAGAGAGAGAGAGAGAGAGAGAGAGAGAGAGAGAGAGAGAGAGAGAGAGAGAGAGAGAGAGATGCTGATGTGTAGGCTGTAGCCTATGTAATTTTTTTAGGTGCCTTGCTGTTTTATTCCACACAGAAGCATCATCGTACTGGACAGCTGTTTGCACCACTTGATTTACCCGAATAAAATGCTAAGACTGGAACCACCTTTCCACGTCATCTCTCTGCTGTTGCTATGGGAAGAATAGACCGATCTTAAATTAAAGTGGCTTCTCTTGTGAAAAAAGAAGTGCACCTTTAAAAGGAGTTGACTACTTATTATGGAAATCCTAGGCTAGGCCTATACTTTAATTTACTTAAATGCGAACTGAATATAGGATGATGCTTTCTGACTTTTATAGTGCATGTTATTTAAATCAAAAATAAAATCTGTTATAGTTTAAATTTATATTAAATATAATTAGTTTAACTGAAGGGTGCTCTTTTGATCAAATAGGTCTAAATACAATATGTATTTTAATAGGCCTAATTAGACTTCTATTGTTTTTTAAATATGGTTAAAGGCCTACTGCCGAATATTATAAGGTAGACCTAGCTATTTTAAATTTGTATTGACACTTGTTGCCTATCACATTTGTAATGTTGAAGTTGCAATTTAGTACATTTAAAACATGTTAACTTTAAATGGTAACCTAGCCTATATTACAGTAAATAACACACTACAAAATGATCAAGTAGCTATTAACATGTGCTTTAGTATTAGTCAACATCAAGCTAACTGTGCTTCTTTAAAGCATTACAAAATCATGTTTTAAAATGTAGCCTACATTAAAGTTAAAAAATAATTTGCCATTATGACAGAAACGTAGGCCTATTATAGAAGTTTAAACCTGGAAGAGGAATTGGGGTGTATGGGACACTTGAAGAGACCTTCTGCAACAACTATTAACCTGTAGCTTTTAGACTGAGGGGTTGAGCTTGGTCAGTATATGAATCCTTTTGGGAAAGCAGAGGTTGCGGCTGTGTGTGCGGCCAGAAGGAGGCGCTCTTCGTGTGATCTGTCTGTATTCTAACGCCCCACTGATGGTAACGTAAAAGGCACCGTTGTTCAAATGTGATGTTAAAAAGTTTCTGCGGTCAATTAACCGCAACTTCAGTCCTGGAGGGCCACGGTCCTGCAGAGTTTAGCTCCAACCCTGACAAAAACTCTTTTCTAGTGATCCTGAAAACATTGATTAGCTTGTTCAGGTGTGTTTATTAGGGTTGGAGCTAAACTCTGCAGGACAGTGGCCCTCCAGGACCGAAGTTGCCCATCCTGCCCTAGCCCTATAGGGTCTTTCTCAGAAAAAAAAGTCCTAAAACAATCCCCACATACAAACTCGTTACATCACCAATGAAACTCCGTAAAATTTACTTTTTTTAACATTTAATACTTTACATTAGCCTACCATTCAACTTATTTTTTTTAACAGTGTAGATCCCCCCAAACATTTCCTCTGCTCATCTGAAATAAGGACGAAGGAAGCAGGAACTTGCTGGGGTTATTTTCAGACCAAGCTGCAGCCTTCCTCTTCCTCTTCCTCTTAAAGGACAGGATATTGATTCAGTCATTTATGCTCTGCCGACTGTTTGATGGAAATTAAATCTCTCCACTCATACTCTCCTTTTTTCTTGATCATGTGACACATGAACACACATATAGCCTAAATACCAGTGGTAAGATGTACAATTATTGATTGTATTAAAGGGATAATTCATTATCTATTTGTTATTATGTAGCCTATTTAGAAATTGTGTTTGGTGTCTAATTTAATAACAACAACAACAACAACAAGTCCATTAAATCACACAGCACATTAGTTCATTTTTATACTGGCACATAAAGATGTAAAATTCAGGCACAAATAGAATCAACACTTAATGTAAAATCTGTTTACATTGACAAATACACAGCACTAAACATTACACAAACCATTATAAATTTGATACAGCTAGACTGAACAAATAGTTTATATTTAAGCATGATTTGTTTTATTTGATTTCTTTGGTAACACTTTACAATAAGGTCCATTAGTTATTGAAATTTATGATAAGCAATATTTTGTATCTGTTAATCTTTGTTTGCTAGCTAATAAAAATACAACTCATTATTAGCTTAAATCCAATGATTAATATTAACAGATACAACTTTTGATTTTAATAACATATTAGTAATTTTTTTCATTAATATTAATAAATGCTTTAGAAGTCATTTTTACTGTTAGTTCCCTGTCACTGGGGCGGCACCCTTTAAAAAGGTATGTACCATTTAGGTATAATACATAACCTTTTGGTACCAATATGTACATTTGAGGTACTAATATGCACAAGTTACAGCTTTTGATACCATTTTTTTCCTGAGATGTAAACTAGTTGTTAACAAATGTGTTAGCATTCTTATTGTTAAAAAGAGTTCATGTTGATATCTTCACATGATCTAGAGTTTTAACATATCTCAAATTCTTTATAAAGAAAACATGTAAAAGTTTACAGCCGTTATAGTGAAGACAAACACTGAAAAAGGCCATATATGCAATATGACAGTACTAATCTAACTTGAGCTTCCTCTTGTATTTTTTCTTGGGGAAAAATTAACTTTACGAGTGCATTGTGTGGAACAAACACTGATGGATTAAGACGAAGCATCTCTGTGACAGAATTAAATGTTACCATATTTACACGGATAACTATCACGCCCCTAGACACAACACAGCCTAGACCACACCAAAAAAAAACAGCTACGTTTAGGATGCATTCATATATAAGAAGCTAATTAAACCAGCTTAATTTACTCTCTTAATGAGCTGAACTCTTATGTGGCCCAGAACTACACATTTCGACTTGCTTCCAGGCTCTCTCAGTCCAAAATCAGCATTGACTGAGTTATGATCTCTGCTAATGAAGCAGTGTGAACGATGCACAAAGTGCAAATCTCTCGATTTAATGAGGTTTATCTGTCAAACCCAACTAATGAAACCATTAAGTGAAAATAACATCCTAAAATATATAATGCTGAAAGCTAGATTTTGTTTTTTCTCCCCAACTAACTCAAAAAGTAGCAGAAAATATCAGTATTGTCGATCTATCTGGCAGGTTTCTCACTTTGATGTTAAGATACTTTTGTAAACATCAACTCACACAACACATGTTGCAATCTCTTTGTCCAAAGTCCTCAAAGAATGAAATTCAAAAACACGAATGTCCTGTTGTCTGTTGAGGATTTGTGCCCATGATAAGACAAGTATTTCAAGAAGTCAATGCATAGAGTGCTTGTTGAAAGTAAACCCATCTGTGTGTCATGAATGTGTCCTTGCATAAAACCTTGATATGATCTTCTTAGTCAGACTCAACAGCTCTCTCTGCTGATGATATTGTAGAAGTTGAAACTCAAACTCTTTTTGTTATAAACTGATTTTTCAGCATCATTACTCTTCAGTGTCACATGATCCTTCAGATATCATTCAGATTTGTTGATTTGCTGCTCAAGAAACATTTCTTATTATTATCAATGTTGAAAACAGTTGTGCTGCTTAATATTTTTGTGGAAATTGTGATAATGTTTTTTAGAATTATAATTTGTGTGACATTATAAATGCCTTTACTGACAATTTTGATAAATTTAATGTATACTTATTATTAGTCCTTATTAGTATTATTATATATACAAATATCTTACTGCCCACACACTTTTAAAAGATAGTGTATTTTTATTTAATATAATTACATCATTTTTTAATTAAGTTATTCCTTTATATCTTTTTAAAGCCACATCATAAAATAAGGAAATATAATTATCTAGTATAATGCAATGCAGTACACACAAAATAACCAAAATGAAACATATTTCCATCCCCTCTAAACATTTTTCAAACCAAATCTTTTAATTTTCTTCATGGGAGAGTGCTAAAATTGAGAATCTGATTTACATGATTGCATTCATGGATGCATGGTGTGAAAAGTAAAACTGAATCTTTTTTTAATGTACCTGAGTTTGTGCATGTTCTGACACATATACATTCCTGAAATGACAGCGAGTGACCACCCTCTTTTCCTTATATGTACAATCAGAGAGCTTATTTGGAACACTATGTAGGCTGTTTCATTTTATGAAAGTATGAGAGCTACTTGCCTTATGTTATACTGTCATGTTCAGTAATTAGACAGCATAAAGTTGGCTTCCAACACATATCTCAAATTCAAAGCGCTGTGCTCTAGTCTGAACCACTCAGAGAGAGCTTAAGTGGGACCGAACAATTGGAAAATACCTGGGAAAGGTTACCTGTGGAAAACAAATATTGGGGTTATACATCACGAGGCATACTGTATGTACCTTATGTAACTTACTCAAGATCAATCATGCTTAGTTTCCTTTTGTGAACCTCAGTCATTTTGGTTATATTTCCATATTAGGAGTCTACCTGTTCCCATTGCTTATAGAGAGCAGCATCCACCAGTCCATCCCATCAGACCTTTGTGTGAGAGTGTGTTACCTGTCAATGTTTCCATATAGGGTACTCGAGGTCTGATGGGTGGAGACAGTCAGTATAGGCCACTTATAGTGTTTCTGTATGTAATCTTATTCTGTATTTCAATTATTCTACGTTGTTACAGTAATTGAACACAATAATTGTAAAAAAAAAAAAAAGAAAAAAAAAAAGGAATAAATGCAATGACAGCAGAGAGAGAAGCAGAGAGTGCCAATCACTCTTTCTAATTTCCGCTTTAAGGTGTCACGTGACTTCGCCTTGGCTTTCCAAAGTACTATACCATGTGACTCATCCAGAGATTGCCTTTTAAGGAGATTGGCTGAATATCTCTTAAAGGGGCCGTGAACAAGCTGTCTTTGT